TTCCTTAAGGTCTCGGGGTCTTAATGTGGTATTTTGAAGTTTGTGTACAGTTACTACAGTAATTAGTTTATAGTTCCTAAAGTGTTGAGGTAGAGGGTACTTGCTGTAGCTCAGGTTGAGGGTGAGAGGCTGCCAGCAAATAGTTTAGGAAACAGAGATCTGTGTGGGTACATGACACCCTAAAAATGATGGTGGATCACGGGGGAGTACCACCAGTTGGTCCAGGAGCTTTGCCTCCATGATGGCTGTTTTATTTCATATTTCAGGATGACTCGGGGGCAGTTTGACAACCTGCTGTCTATTGTCGGGCCAAAAAGCTCTGGGTATCCAGCAACTGCTACCACTGGCTTCTCCAACTTGTTATCGTGACCACCACAGAAGGCCCGCCTCTCAAATCATCCGATTGGATGAATAGGAAAAAACGGATATGTTGTGTGAATCACAAAGTAATCTGCATGTAAAAAGACCAGTGTTTATCTCAGGACGTTGAGTTTAAATAACCTGCTTCTTGTAATAGTCCCCAGATCTACTTTGCTGTGAGAGAGCAGACACCTAGCTTGTTAGAAGTTAAATGTCAGGCAGTGGAGCTACAGTGACAGGTACACATCTGTAAGAAATGTGATCAGTCTAATGCAGATGAGTGACAACACTTAAAGAAGACTATCATTAGAGGAGGATTATCTTTATGCTGACTTGCTATATAAGTGGCTGTCACAGCAGTCAAGAGATAATGCCCCAGTTTGCACCTGTGCATATACAAACACTTACACACGGATTGTGCAGGTGAGATAAAATCACTAAACTGCCAACAGATAGGTGCACATGAAAGCATACATACATTTTGGAGACCAAATGCATGCAGTTTAGATAATTCACACACCCACACAGCCAGTAAAATAAACATACTCCCACAGTGCATCAGCTATGTCTTTACACCTCGACCGCTATGTTGGCTGCTCCGCCAAACTCTGCAGTAAACACAACTAAAGCTGTAAGAGTTCAGGAATTTATTACACACAACCCAACACTCGAGGTATGCACATAACGATTTCTCATACACACCAGGTCAGCTGCCTCCACGTAACACTCGCAGGCAGCAAGCCATATGAGGTGCAAGCAACCATAAATGTGCCAGTTTTTACACAGTCAATCATGCACAAAGCAAACGGGAGGTATGCAGAGCTGCAACCGTGCCAAACAAAATCCAGCAGAGACCGGAATATGAAATTACAGGTTGTCATTCTGCGTCTATAACAAAGGTAATGATTTGGAGCGTGACACTGAACGTTATGTAATCATTTATATAGAAGTATGAAAGAGGGGAGAGAATTGCATCAGGTGCATCTGATGTACTGCTGTTTACTTAGTGAATTCGGGAGAATGGAGAAGCAAGTGGTTTTCTGCTGGGAGTAATGGTGCTGGCTGTGAAAATGACAACTGCGTCGTTCTAAAACTAGGAATGATAGTTGTAGTAACGTGGCTTTGCTCCTGGAGTAAGACAGGCCCCTCTCTGTGATTTTGGTGAGATAGGGAGAGATGTTCCTTTAATGTTTAATGCTAAGTGCTACACTTTTTTGTAAAATATCAACATTTTGGATAAGTTCTTCTGGATGGATGACTGTAACAGATCTGTGCTGTGATAGTAGATTTTATTTGTTGAGTTTGGGACAGAAGACAAAGCTCTTTGTTTTCAGTATAGTTTAACTGTTCTGAGCTAATGTAATCAAAATATACTCTCCTCACCTTCTAACACTTTCTTTGTGGACCTGATATTGTGGGTTAGGCACAATGAATAAACGCTGTACTGCATCCACTCAAGATAACAATGTTGCACAGAGAAATAAATGAGCTCAGCCATCCTGCAGAGAGCTTCTCAGTCGAGGTGAGAGCTTGCCAAGCATGTTTTATTGGCATGCTCGTCTATCAAAAGGTGAACACAAGGTGAAAGGGATGTTTGCGTAGGAAGGCAGGCAAGTTTTGAAAGAATAAACTACAATTGCTAACAATGAACTGTGATTATAGTGTGACTCCAGATCCACAGGTCAGTTTTTGTTCTCTTCAAGTTGTAAACCTCATTAAAGTTGATGCTGTTATGTCTTTCACAGGAAAAAAACAAACTCAAGTTCATCAGTTTATTTTGTTTGTAAATCCCTAAACTCCCCCTCTATGTTCTCTATGTTCAGCAGCCAAGTGTATTTTGAATTGACGGCTGATGCCAAAGTGGAGTAGACAAATGTGTCACAGCCAAATAAATAAAACCAGCATGTGGTTGAGGGCTGGTGTTAAATTCATTCCCTAATTAGTTCAGCTTAATTATCTTGGACGGGGATGATATGAATGGCATTTATTTCAAGAGTTTGTTACGCAGGAATTCAATGCGAGGAACTGCTGCTCTGAGTGGAAACCTCGTTTTATGGTTCAACACAGTGCGCTTGACAAATTATAACTTGTATTACTGTGGTCAGAACAAATAAGAGTTTAATTTTAACAGCTTTTTGCTATGAGTATAAAAATTATTTTTATGTGACAAGAATAAAGTGATGAGACAGAATTGAGGTTAAAAAGGAATATCATGTATTTTTAGATCACACTGTTGGGACTGTGTTTGTACTATACGATATGTATCACGGTACAGAGGTCATGGTCAAATAAACTGTAATACTGTTAGCACAGCCCAATCACCAGAAGAAATTACACATTCCTACAAACCATGAATGAGTTATATTTGCAAGTTTCATGCGCATCATTTCAACGTTTTTTAGTGACGTAGTATGAGCTGATTTTTGTCTTCAGGAGGCTAAGCGGGTGGTGGAATGTGTGTCACCTCGGTGAGACGCCTGCTAAGCTGTAGACTATAGCAGACCACTGTTCAAAACACAAAACAGGTTGTGTTTTGGCAAGTCATTGCTGTGTTTCCATCTGCTTTTTAGGCCTCAATGTAGGTGTTCTGTAGCGTCCTGTCGCTCGTCTTCCATCTGCTTTTTAGGCTCCAAATGTGGCTGTTTTGTAGCACCTCATGAGTGTTTTTTATCAGCTTTAAAAGCTCCAGTCGTTGGTGTTTTTAGTGGTCCTCGGATTCTGTCACCTTTTTAGGCTCCAAACGTAGGTGTTTTGTAGCAACCTCTTGTTTTTTTTCCACCTGCTTTTTAGGCTCCAGTAGTGGATGTTTTGTAGTGCCCTGTCAGTGTTTTTTCTACAGGCTTTTATAGCTCTAGTCAGGGGTGTTTTTTGGAACCCCTCAGTGTCTCCCTACCGGCTTTTTAGGTTTCAAACGTGGGTGTATTTAGGGACTTCTCAGTGTCTTCCTATCAGTTTTTTAGGCTCCAAACATGGTCGTTTTATAGCGACCTGTCAGTCTTTTTCCATCTGCTTTTTGGCTCCAATTGTGGGTGTTTTGTAGCAACCTGTTGTTTTTTTTTTTTCCATTGGCTCTTTAGGCTCCAATCATGGATGTTTTGTAGTGACCCATCAGCAGGGATAGTGCCACAAAAAGCACCATTCTTGCCGACAACATCACTGCTTTTCCTGCAAGGATTGTGCCCCAAAGCCAGGTATTTTAGCCAAAACACAATCTTTTCCTATCCAATGTGGTTTTGTGCCTAAACCTAACCATGCCTTAACCGCAGCGTTGTTAAAACATTACAAATCAGCAGGAGTTTTTCTGCTGTGCTCATAGGCTTCTGAGAGGTTTGGTGGTGAGCAAGGAGATATATTGCAATTTGTTTTAAATCTTATTTTAGAAAAACTGTCATAGTACAAAGAGTACATCGTACAATACACTATTAAATGTGTAAAATCTGAGTAAAAAAAGTTCACTTTCTTATGCAATTGCAACAGCGAGATCTGCATTTATAACGGCCCCTTTAACACGCTAACAGTTTGTTTTTGGGGGGTGAGTCAAATGGCTGAACACACTTAAGCGTAAACTGTTAATTAAAAATCGATGGTGTTTTTTTAGAACGGATACAATAACACAAAACATAATATTGCAATATTCAAGTGTATCGATTTTATCTTACATCCCTACTTGAGTGTGCATTTGAAAAGGATGTTAAGGGCAGTTTGCTGCACATGTGCCCGTGACTTTATGTGTGCAATATGGTGTGTGTTTTGACAGTTTGAGTGGAGGGGGCCGGGGGCTGAGCAATGCCAGCAGGACAGAGCAGAAGGCTGTCAGGCTGAGAACATGCTAATAAGGTCATACAGACAGAGCAGTACTGCGGTAAAGCAAGCAGCCAGACTGGCTGGAGAGACTCCCCAAGCGCACCTCTGAGGAAATGGCCCACTAAACTACAATTTGTGGTTGAGTGGGTAATGAAAACACTCCTAACTTTTGGGTAATTCATCACATGTTGTCCTTTACCTCCCACACATTAAACCACACTCAGTGACTGTACATTAAAGCTGTAGGTACAAATAGGTTACTGCACAGTTTTTTGCTCGATACCTGTAAGTTTTCCACAAATACTTCATGGAATATTATTTTTAAATGTCAAAAAGTTGAATGCATTTGTCTTGAAATTGGTTATTTGGTTATTTACACACACATCATCTCTGCAGATGATGGATAAGAAAAATCTGCACAAAAGTACCCACGCAATGTAACCTTATTCTTGATTCAACATGAACATGAACAACTTTCTGAAAAGGCAGTTTCATTGTTTAATTAGTTTTGAGTTGTGGCTGAAGGGGCACAGTCACGCCCTTGTTAGCCGGCAGTGGGACTGTCACCTCACACATCATCAAGCGGGCCAGTGAAGCGAAAGCTGGAACACCGTGTACCAAAACAACACCATCACATCAACACTTAGAGTAGACACTTGGCTTCTGTTCTGCATGGGCCACTGTTGTGGACACTGACTGGACAAACCGATTAACTGTCACCACCTGACCTAAAATCCCATCCCACGCACTGCTGATGTTGCCCCCGTTTTATTCCCCCGAACAGCTGCAGGAAAGTGTGCACTGTCCTGTTCTTAAAGGAAATCAAAGAATGCGATAACAGCCAAATATTTTAATATTTCTGCTGTTTTCTCTCAGACAGAACTCATGCATTTAAAGGAAAAAAATCTACAATAACTGTTATGTTAATATCAAACTACTGTATGACCATATAGGTGAGGGCTTTGTGATGAAGTGAAACAGATCAAGTTAAACATTTAGTTGACTGCTGCCCCCAGCTGTTCAACTGTGGTAACAACAACACTTCGTTCTCAAACAAACAGACCTATAATAACTACAGGCTCACATTCAATCTGATAACAAAACAATCCTGTATCATAAACAATGTTTGTCCAATTTAGACAAGCCTGACACTGCAGTTTATTGACCGCTGACCGATGAGTCCTCAAATGACTGCAGCTGCTCTTTGAGCTCAGCTAGCTCTCTCTCCATTGTGTAGACATCTTCGGAAATTTGCCTGAGTGAAGCAGACACAGTTTCGCAGTGTTTAATATGTGCAACGTCAGGAGCAATTTAACTCTTAAGTTAGCTGGTTTTAAATGCTAATACAACTAAGGTTATGCATCTCTCAAATACTAGGAAGGAGCCTTTGAACACTCCTGATGTTATTACTGCTCAGGGGAAGAAGTTGGAGGATATCACTTGTTTCAAATATCTCTGTATTTGGCTTTATGACTCCCTTTCTTTTAAACCTCAAGTTGAAAATCTCCTTAAAAAGCTGAGGCTGAAGTTAGGGCTTTATTTAAGGAACAAGTCCTGTCTCTCCTTTAAGGCCAGGAAAAGACTGGTTGCTGCTACGTTTTTACCTGTTCTGGATTATGGTGATTTGTTGTACATGAATGCATCTGCACATTGTTTGCACATGTTGGATACGATAATCATAGTGCATTGAGATTTGTTACAAATTGTAAAGCTGGTTGGCCATCTTTGACCTTTTGTAGGCTCAGTTGATGGTATTTGTTCATTTATAAAGCCTTACTGGGTAAACTCCCTCCGTACATTTGTACTTTGATTAAACAGTGATCTGACTGTAGCTGTAGTCTGAGATCTCAAGACTTAGTTTTGTTAAATGTGTCTAAGGCATGGACTGAGCTGGGAAAAAAAAAAACTTTTATGTACTCTGTTCCTCTCACTTGGAATAACCTTTAAAAAAAGTTGAAGCTACGTGAGTTGGTCTCTCTGCCTGATTTTAAAGCTCTCATAAGTACGAGAATGAATGTATCGGTTTGTTCTTTTATGTGTATAGGTGCCCTAATATTTCTACATGTTACTGTATATATTCTATTTTTTTTATTGTGTGGTTGCTGTTTGGCTGTAACGTGTTGTGTGCTGCTGGCTTGGCCAGGTCTCCCTGGTAAAGGAGATCGTCAGTCTCAACGGGACTGGTTAATGTGGGTTAAATAAATAAAAATAATATCTCCAAGTAGCCTCCTGTTAAATTACAATGTATGAAAAGACACAACAGAGAGGTAAGCCATATTAAATGTACTAAAAACAACAAAATTTGTTCCTAATTTTCTGGTTTCAATAAACATAATTTTGCTGTCTTTACTTTTTACTTGACCTCTGGTTTGATCTCCCGAAATTTGGACTTAACATCTGTGCAAAACACTAACTGAAATGCTGACCTCTTTATTGAGTTTTTTGACACACCTGTATGTATTTATTTCATGTTAAACAAATGTTTTTTAATAGACATGTCTGACAATAGTTTTGTGACCTTGCCTGAACATGTAGTATTAGTGCATGAATACATGACACCCTAATAAATTAAGGCTGATTGGTATCATGCCCTTCAGTCTTCCCCTGTCCAAGTAGATTAATGATCCAACACACTGTCTGGATATTACTTACTGTGTTAGCCTTCCCTTCGTAGTAACTGTCAACAGGATCATTAAGCAAATCACTTCACTGAAAGTGAATATTCACATAGGTGCCAAAAATCTCAGTGTGAAAGTCTTGGTTACATAACAGCTTTTTTGCATTTTCCTGTTTTCAGGGTTCTCACACATTTTCATGAACAAAATTTCAAAACTTTTTTCAGGGACTTATTTCTTATTCCACTTGCCGTTTTTTTTTTTTAACATGTCAGATTTTAACCTCTATTCAAACATAAAAAAAACAATTTCAGCTTTTAGCAGTCAAACTAAACGTTGTCATGCAGACAGCAACGATATGTCGACAGCTACAGAAAATAAAGTTGGCATTATGTTACATTACATTACATGTTTCATGTAAAAAGAAAACAAAATCTCCTCGCTGTAATAAATGCTATTTATTATTGCAATATTCCGAGAAATACAGCTGTGAAAAAAAAAAAAAAAACATTTTTCTTCGGTCTGTCCAAAGACTGTAAACAGTCATAGGGTCTGTCAGGCTGGAAAAGTTTTTCCAGTAATGTGATTGAAATTATTTAAGACCCATCTAAACTGAATTTAAAACAATCTAAGACTTTTTAAGAACCTGTAGACACCCTGTGATGACGTTTTAACTGTTACACAGCACAGCACTTATTTTTAAATTAGTAAAACAAGGAAGGTATTCTGAGCAACTTTAGACATGTTTTAGGATGTCCTTTTTTTTGTTTTAAAACAATAGCCAAAATAATGTGTACTCATAACTCTTCCAAAACATTCTGTTAATTTCAAATCATTTCCAGGCCTGGAGAACAATTTTAAATTTTACTTTTCTAAAAATGTCATAACTGTCAGAATCCTGAATATATGTGAAAATCACTGGTGTTGCATTTATTTGTACCTGTGGGCAGCCTTGGCTCTGCTCAGCTGGAGCAGGAGGTGCTTGATGATAGCTTCATAGCGCCTGTTCTGGATCTGAGAGAGAGAAAACACAAACAAAATTCAGTTTGAGTTTTAACTGGGGATACTGGAGCTCATATTATGAACATAGGCTGAAATCGTACTATCTTTATTCATGGGTTTATATTTCAAAATCAGATTCGTAACAGTTAGCAAATTATTGGCAAAAGGGAATTTATACATTCGTATGAAATAATTGCTGTACCTTCATCTGTAGTTTCAGTATATATAAATGAGAGCTGCATTACAGTCAGTTGTCAGAAAATGAATCTGCAACAATTCTTATTTGTTAATGTAGTTTTCTCAGCAACAATGGCTTAAATTCACTAATTGCAGCTTTTCAAATGTGAATATTTCATATTTTTTTGTATTCTTCTGTGATAGTAAACATGCTCTGTTGACAGTTGGTCATTTTCACCATTTGCTGACATTTTATAGACTACACAGGTTAATTAACTAAAAGCCCCAGGAGAGGGCCGTTTTCACAACCAGGTAATGAGGGTTATCTCTCTCAGCAGACAGCAACAACCAGCGAAGCATTCTATTGCTTTTGTTAAAGTTGGAGAGAAGCCGAACAGTGTTTAAACTCATCAGGGGGGACTTCTGGCAACAGCCCGGGACTAGCCACTGGAGGTCGACCTGGGGAGACAGCTCAAATTCTCAGACACCATTGCTGTGACCACGCTCAGGCCTGACATGGTTCTCGTGTGAGAATCATCAAGGCAGGTGGTCCTGCTGGAATTGACTGTGCCCTGGAGAGGTGTTTGAGAGGAGAAAGGCTAAATCTGAGGAGCTTTCAGGTGAATGCCAAGGCAATGGATAGTAGACCTGATGCTACCCCATCGAGGTCGGCTGCCGAGAATTTGCCGGCTAGTCGCTCTACAGGGCCCTCAAGTTGCTGGGGATCAGAAGACTGCACAGCAAGAGAGCCATCAGGAACATCACTGATGCTGCTGAGAGGGCATCAAGATGGCTGTGATCAAAAGGAGTGATCCATGGACCACACTAGCTACCTAGACACAGGCCGGGGTCTGATCAACCCTGGCTGGGTCACCTGGACTGAGGTGTCATGCTGACAGACCCGAACCCCCCAATGACACAAGGTTACATCACTGATGATGTGTCTAGGTTGCACCTAAAGGTGTGTGTAAAATCAATCAAGGAAATTAATCTGTAAATTAATCAATGATTAAAAATAATCGTTAGCTGTAACCATAGTCAATAAATTCCCTACTTCTCTTTGCCATACCTCTATGGATTTCTTTAACTGGGCTTGATTCTCAAATGCTTTTTGCAGATGCTCTCTCTTCTTGGCTGACTTCTCCCTCATCAAAGAGATCTCTGTCTTCAGAGCATCAATCTCACTCTGCAGAATAGAATAGGAAAGGGCGTCAGATAAACAATTAACATGATATGTAAAGTTTATCATCCAGTTCATTTTCCCCCACCTTTGCCATCTGCACTGTGTTTCCATCTGGATTCTCCAAATCTTTCTTCAGCTCCTCTTTCTTATTTTTCAGCATCTTGACCAGCGCTCTCTTCTCCTCCAGCTCTTTGTGGGCCTCTGTCTGACTCAGCACGTGTGAGACAGCTGCTCTGTGTCCCTCCATCTTGTCTCGGTAAATGTTGAACCTTTCCAGTGCCATGCGAGCGTTCTTCTCCTCCTCGCTTATACTGATCTGGAGATCTGTGTTGTCCTTACAGATAGATGCACAGCGATCGTGCAGGACTTTTGTCCGCTGCTCCAGGTACACCATCTCGGCCTCCAGCATCAGGAATTCCCTATGTATAGATCTCAGCTCTTGCTCTGCCATCTCACCTTTCTTCTCTACGTCTAAAAGAACTGCCTGAAAAAGGAGGCATATTACAAAAACATCCCAATCAGTGTCTACTCTGCAAGAATCTGAACACTTTGAAACACTTTGGTTTTTGCTCCCATTTTTCACAGGTTTAAGTTAAGGATTTTTTTATCCACTCCATATATATATTTCTCTCAAATTTTGTTCTCAAATTTCTTAAAATCCGTGTTAGTGAGCTCCTCTTCCAAGATGATCCATCCTCCTGACAGGTGTGGCATATTAAGAGGCTGAGTAAACAGAGTCATTACTACACAGGTGTCAAACATTTTAAGGGAGCGTGTCATTGGCATGCTGACTGCAGGAATGTCCACCAGAGCTGTTGCCTGTGAACTGAATGTTCATTTCATTATCATAAGCCATCTCTGATGTCTTTTCCATGAATTGGCAGAACATCCAACCGGCCTCATGACTGCACAGGTCGGTCGTGATGACGATCTGCTGTCAGGTCAAGACCTAGTGAGGATGATAAGTGTGCAGATGAGCATCTCTGAGAAGGTTTCTGACGGTTTGTGCAGATATTCTTCTGGGTGGCTGGTCTCAGACGATCTTGCAGGTGAAGACACTGGATGTGGAGGTCCTGTGTTGGTGTGGCTACATGTGGTCTGCAGTTGTGAGGCTGGAGATGTACTGCCAAATTTATGGAAACGACATCAGAGATGGCTTGTGTGAACATTCAGTTCGGGCAAAAGCTCTGGTGGACATTCCTGCAGTCAGCATGCCAAAGGCACAATCTCTTAAGACTTGCAACATCTGTAGCATTGTATTGTGTAATCAAACTTGATATGCCACACGCCATGGGGATGAAGTATCTTGGCAAAGAAGTGCTTACCAACATGGATTTTGACAAATTTGTGACCAAAATTTGAGAGAAATAAGTCTATTTAGTGCATAAAAAGTCTGAGATATTTAACTTAAACCTGTGGAAAATGGTAGCAAAAACGACAGGGCTGCATTTGAATTTTAGCTCAATAGCTCAGTTGAATAAGTGAGCTATTGAGAGATAACCAGTCTATTATGCATGCCTGATTCACACATTTACAATAAAAAAAACCCAACCTTATTGTAACTTCAGCGCACATATTTATGACTAGTTTATTAGTGAAGTGATTTTAAGTTCATTTTCATGCATGTTCCTTAAAATAAACTATTTTTATTAGCAAAAACTAAACATTAGTAACAAATATAACCAAATGAACCACATGCACTTTTGGCACTGTAAACTCTGCACAGTTTTGTCTCTTTCTTTCTTTTTTCTAACCACTTCTGCATTTTTTTTATATGTATTCATTCTAAAAATGAGGGCTTGTGAACACAGTGCCATCACAAATAATGGCTATATGTTAAATATAATTTAACCATAATCTTTGTAGAACTGAATTCCCATTTATCATGTACCTCTTAGGGGCACCATCCCCACTGTAGCACCACGACTTATACCTAACTGGTGCAACCTCTACTGTTAGACAATGTAAACACTTATTTATAATGTCAGAATGTGTCTAAATTGCAAAACAGAGAGAAAAATTTAAATTATAAAAGCAGTGTTAGCTTGAGCCTTTAGTGAACAGAGCTCTATTAGGGATAAAGACATACCTGCAGCTTACTGAGTATCTTCTCTTTCTCCTTCAGGGCCTCAGTCAGGGTACAGCCCTGTTGGCTGACATCTTCCACTGCCTTGGTTAATGAAAACTCAGAATTCTCCGGTGTTCCTGAGGGACAGTTAATAAAAGCGTATTAAAGTTTCTGTTTAACGAGCTGACTGTTAACCTAGTCAACACAAACTAAACTGCCAGGTAGTCAGCCTAGGTCTTGCTGGCAGTTTTTCCAAAGGTCATCTTTTAATTTTGGACACCCCTGAACACACTAAATGCTGGTGCTTTAAACATGTAGCTAACCCATAGTTAATGGGGCTATAGCTACAATTAAATTAGCACATGCAAGTTAATGGCGATTTCAAAAACTCAAAACATAGATTGTCTAACATAATATCAGCGGTTGATGAAGCACTCGGATATTCTACTTAAGTAAAAGTAGCAGTAATGGCCCATTTCAGAATAATATATGTTACATTTTGGATTATAATCATTGATGCATTAATGTGTTCCTCACTTTAATGTTGCTGCTAATAAATGTGGAGCTCATTTTACTACTGGGTAGTTTAATCTGTAATAACACATCAAAGTTTATTTGTTCATTTATATTTTGTATTAATACATTGACTATGCAAAGTAACGAGTAACTGAAGTACAGTAATTCCCTCTGAGATGTAGGGGAGTAGAAGTATAACATAGCAGAAAATGGAAATACTCAACTACCAGTACCTCAAAATTATAAGGTAGCTTAACTATAATACTTGAGTAAATGTATTTAGTGACATTCCACCACTGTATAATATAACACAAGTTACTAATTTTATACAGTCTATGCTTGAAAAAGGCTCTAAAGTGAGCTAAAATTATGCTAATGTTAGCTAGTAACTGGCCAACGAAGTTATGCTAGCTAACATAAAGTTAACGTTAGCATTATTGTTTTCATGGTTAAATAGCCTTTATTGGGCTCAGTTAATTAAACACTCTTGTAATTCTATTAATTTATTTTGTCAATTAGCATGTTTGACAATAATTAGTTTATATCTTACCGTCTTCACCCACTCCAGCGGTCGCCATTTTGTCATCAATTAGCTACCTGACGTTATGGTTGGACCTGCTCCTTGCTGCTCCTTGCTATCCAGTGTTGAGGTCAGGGACTGTTCATTACTTGTCAGGAGAGAGGAGGTGGTGCAAAACGGGGGAGGCATGCCAAATACTTTTAAGCACTGGTGAGGGACTTGTGTTTCGTATTTTCACTTAGGGGAAGGACATACAACTTTAACTGGTTGTATTTTGTAATTATTTTAATTATTCTCTGATCCCTCAATTCTGCTGCTGAGTTTGAAAGCATGTTTTCTTTAAATATCGCCAAAATCACACTATTTATCACAGCCAGAAAGGGTGAAAAGAGAAATTATCATCGTATTTTCAAATTTCAGATGGTCACTGAACACATGTAACACAACAAGGGCTTTATTTGACAAGTCTCATTTAAAATGTCTCCAAAAATAAATGTTTTACACTAACCAGATCCTGTAAAAACATAAAATCCTGCGTCCTGCATACATGACAGTAGTGAAAAAACAAGGATTTTTTTTAACTCTGGGATTTCATAGTCAACTTTTTTAACTTTAGAAAAAACAATAACAAAAGAAATCTAATGACCTCCGCTGTAACAAGTTACTGATACTGCCAGTGCTGTGAACAGTTTATTTGGGAAAGTGATCATTATATGCACATGTTGCCAATGCCAGCTTTGTGAGTGCTGTAATGTGTGTATGTGCATGTGATGTGAAAGCTTAAGAAAGTTTGTTGTTTTTGTGTGTTTGGACCAATGACAGCTGGCTGTCATGCACCAATATTCTGCTCTTCAGCAGAATATGCATAAACTTGCATAATAATGCAATTTTTAAGGAGGATTTGCATTTTGCTAAATAAATCAACTGTTTGTCTTTATTTACTTTGTTTATTTTGTTTTTGCTTATTGACCCTTTGTTTGCTTGCTTGTTTACTTTTTTTGATTATATGACTTGTATTTGCTTATTATGCTTACTGAGGTGAGAATTTTTTAATCCTTCTGGAACTTGTTTTTTTCCCCTTTTGTTGTTGTATTTCTTTTGTTTTGTGTTGTGCAAAAAAAAAAAAAAAAAACAAAACAAAAAAAAACTTAAAATTACTCTCACCCCTGTGCTGTTTGCTTGTGGCATTGTCTAAACCTACATATGATATTAATATCATTAATATAAAAAAATGTTATTTATGTATATATACAAAAACATGTATATATAACATTATGACTTCATTCTCGTAGATTTATGACTTTATTGTTGTAATTTTATGAAAAAATACAGTCCCTTACTGTTAACTAGCAAAAACAGTTAGAGCCTGTGACATACAATTAACATCAACGTTAATTTCAACTTTATTTACCGATCGATAGAAAGATTTATGTTTTTTATAATACAACAACAGTTATGGGTCTAACCAGAGCCCTTGAATAGAGAGTCGCGTCATCTCCATTCACTCTAATGGGCCATTTTTTTCACAGCAATGGCGGTTCGCGGAGCCTCTCAATACTTCCCGGAAGTAAGCGGCACATGCTAGCAGCGCAATGGAGTTACAGCAGAAAGACCAGCTGTGATGTACTTTTAACGGGTAAGATGTCCAAAGACTCAAATTTTACATTATCTGCACAACTCATCTAAATTAACATGTGCATTAAAGCTTGTTAGTGGATTATCTCCCATTAAATTAATAGATTTATGTAATGTTAAAAGATAAGATAACAGATTAGGCTAGGACACTGTACATATTGTACACACCATACAGGTAATGCTAACCATGAACAGCCTGTTAGTTTTAAATTGTCTTCTCCTAAATCATTTTATCTAACATTGGCAAGTTAGAGTGCTTCCAGTCCTGTTTTTTTGCGATTATTGACTATTAGCTCAGTTAAATATGACATTGCTGCGTGATTGTTGAGTGGAGGAGGTGAAATTAAACAAAAACGTAACTTATGGTCTGTTTTTTAGGCTTTGTGATTCTGTTGAGTATACCTGTCTATAATATGTTACAGCTCAGCTGATATTACATTGATAGCGAAGTGAGAGGGAAGTTTGACCTGAATGAGATTTAAAACACAAGGTTAAGTAATTTTGATAAATGAAACATACCAAGCTAAATGGGGAATTATTCTAAATACCAAATGTATGTATATATTACTGTGTTATACATATGATCATGCTAAATATATATTCTATCACAGTATTAGATATGTAATCTTGTATATTTGTAACCTGCTGTAGGAGCACTGGGTGGTGGCGGAGCAGTGATGCTGCAGGACCACTGTGTGAGAGAGGACACTGCAGGTAAGTGCTGAGTCAACCTTGGTGAGACTTAAAACTTAACAAGGTGTGTTTCAAGTAGTTATAAGAATCATAAGGAATCATACTTAATATGTATTATACTGCATTTTATATTAATTATATAAGTAATTATATTGAATATATAATATATGATATACAGTGTTGGGCAAGTTACTTTGAAAATGTAATACATTGCATATTACCAGTTACCATCATTATAATATTATAATATTAATAGGCATCATAAAATAGAAGAGGGTCATGTTCTTTCATAGCGGCTAATTAAAGCACAGAGAGCTTTAATTGCAGTTCATTAACTTACAAATCCAGTAGTGGGCGATATTGCATAGTCTGATGAAGGCTCTCCTCTGGAGTGCAGATCTGACCGATTCACGCATTCACATACAGTGGTTACAACTTTGTATTAAAATCCCCTGCTTATATAAATAACAGTGTGATGATATTAATCAATTAAATAGCCTAGACCTTTTCAAATGAACAGATAACTATGGACACAGGGACGACCAGACACAGGATCAAAGTCTGATAACTTATGAGATAGGGATGAATATTTGAGAGCCAGTCATATGAAACACAGTAGGCAAATGCTGAGGTTAGCACAACAAAAGGAAATTGGCTTGCCAGTCAGTCACTATGACAAGTGCAAATTAATACACCAGAGCTGGTAGAGCCACCTGCTGGTTTCCAGTGTGCTGATCAGTTACAACAGCACCCAACACTGAAATATAAGTAAACATTTTAAGGAATTATACTGCAGTGATGCTGCGTGCCTCGTGTCAGGAGTGCTGCAGGATGAGGACCATTAATGTTACAGTTCAGGAGTGGCAATAACAATGATGTTACAGGTCCAGGGGTGCATTGTGGTGCAGGGGCGCTCACAGCATGATGCACAAAGATGGTGGGAATTAAATCTGCTCTAAGCCTTGTCTTGCCCTTTTTGGTCTTGGCAAACTGGTCTGCACCAAAATGTGCCTGCAGTGACTTCCCACACACAACTCACTTTTGTCTACCCACAGACATATCCCATAGTGGCTGAATGCAAACAGTATTCGGGAACACTTTATACATGAGACAACTTCAAACAAATGCAATTAAAACTGATGCCACTTGTCATACTTGTGCCTTATCTCACAAGGCAATGTCAGACCCAGGCATATATACGTGTGCCTAACCATTTCTCCTCTTTCTTTTTTTCCTCTTTCAGCACAAGAACAACAGGGGGATGCAGCGGAGCCTGAACTCACCCCGCAATGAAACAACCCCCTTACCCTGAATCTCAACTCTGTGGGTTTTGCAAGCCTTTACCTGTTCCTTATTTTTAATAAACCAAACACTGAGCTTCCCAATAGTGTGGTATTTGTTTGTGGAAATGTGCTAATGCAGAATTTGAGAATGATAACATTACATATTTTTGTTGTTGTAGTCTGTAGTGAGTCTCAGGTTACTCCTGCTGACTTAGGCCAAAAAAAAAAATTTCTCATCTCTGTGTCAATGAAGAAATTGTGCATGTGTACCTCTCTCTCTAAACGAATGGAACATCCCCACACAGCACCATGGTGGAGACTGTACGAGAGGACAACACAGAAGGAAGGGCACAGACAAACTGCTTGATATCCAAGTCACGTTTCTGAGTTTATTAAAAATTAATTTGTTATAGTAAATAAGTACATAGTAAAAAGACAAAGATACATAAAATATATGTGTCTATAAACTGCTGCTGCTGCTGCTGCTAGCCCAGTGACCCATTGTGCTGTCACTTAACAGTCATTGGTAGTCACCTGTCGTCGCTCTCCTTCTGTCCCACTGAAAGTAATTTAGATAACATTAGTTATAAATCATTACAACCATTACATTATCAATAAATGTTAGGATGTGATTGCTCTTGACAACCACTAAAGACTAAGGACAGAATTGAAAACATCATTTAAAGCAATAAAAGCAACATGCTGTTTCACCAAGGTAAGGAAAGACTAACATATTTAAACAAGGCAGACAACAATATATGTTATATACACATTACACATAGCTATACTGTGTAATAATACATTTCTATCATATAATTATGTTATGTCATTAATATACTTATACTGGCCTGTATACATATATAAATACATATCCTTATCCACATCCCTTATATTTAAACTGTGTACATACTGTGTAATATTCCTGTGTGCAATATTTTGCCACTTCCTGTGGGATATCTATACGTTCCTATATTTTTACAGTAAAAATACTACGCATCATGTGTATTACACTCATCCTGTGCAGCTATTAATCATGAGCATACAGTATCTGTTTCAGTGAAAGGTGTATGTGGATTTTCTATTATTTTCATTATGTGTAATTTGTATTTAAAAAATATTTTATCCTTTTTCTATTGCCTCTGCTCTGAGCTCTGAGCTGCTGTAACGTGAATTTTCAAGGTTGGGATTAATGGAGTCTTACCTAACCGTAGTAAACTAACACTAATCCTCAAATATTAGCAAATTTTACTTTAAAAAACAACATAAAGATGTAACTGTTTATGGCGTGCTACACGTATATTATAAGTAAATGTAGTTATTGACAGCTACTTACCAAAAACCGGAGTTCTGTCTCTCAGTATTATGTATTTAAACGGCCCGCCAGTAACTTCCGGGAACTGTCCGAGGTCTACATGAGTCACGTGACGCACAAGCATTTTGGACTTCCGTTGTCGCGACTCTGTTATATTCTACGGCACAGACATATATATGTATATATGTCTGTGCCGTAGAACATAGACATATATATGTATATATGTCTATGTTCTACGGCACTGGGTCTAACGATCAATAGAATGGAACTACAATTCCCAGAGTCCTCTACTTCTCGTCGACCTCAAACTACATCCGGTCTCACTTCCGGCTAGCACAGTGGCAATGACAGCAGTTGTAAACACTTGAACAACACGCGTGTTAACAGTTTTGCTACACTCATTGCTCCCTAAATGTAGCCCAATGCTCGTCAGCCGCTGGTTTCGACTGTGCTCTCTGTGCAGCCGTGTGGTTTACAGCAGCAGAGGAAGAGGAGCAGGATGGGGGACACGAACAGGACATGCTAACATCACACAGGTGCAACACTGCTGGGGTACAGCAGCACCCAGACGCCTCTGTCACAGGGGTTTTGGGGACTTGTACCAGACGGAGTCAGTTCAGAGGTATCTTGAGCAGTTAATGGAGGAGTACAGAGACCTCAGCAAGAAGTTACAGCATGCTTACCTCAGCGAGTCAGACAGGAAAGTGCTCATGAAGAAACAGACAGAGCTGCTGCCCCTGGCAAATGTGTTTGAGAGGGCTGAACAAGCCATGAAAGACCTGGAGGAAGTCCATTCACTTCTGCACAGTGAGTTTATTTATTTCTGTCAGTAACAATTATCTAAAGTGGTATGTTTTTATGACATGTAATAATCACTTTTCAGTACCGCAAAGAGTAGAAATGTGTTTCTCAGGTTCCCTAGGAGAAGTCAAAGTCTGAAATTATAAATTAAAAGTCTTATTAGAGAATGTCTTTTACATGAATAAAGGTATTGCATTATTATAACTGTATCACTAAGCACTCTGGGTGTTACCTGAGGCTCCATGATACGATATTATCATAATACTCAAGTTACGATACAATGTTATTGTGATTTTAAATGTGTTGATATGCTTTGTGATTTACACACCAGCCACTTTATTAGGTACACCTGTTCAACTGCTTGTTAGGGCAAATAACTAATCGGCCAATCACGTGGCAGCTACTCAATGCATTAAGGCATGTAGTCCTGCTGAAGTTCAAAGGGAGCATCAGAATGGGGAGGAAAAGTGATTTAAGTGACTTTGAACGTGACGTGGTTGTTGGTGTCAGACGGGCTGGTCTGAGTATTTCAGAAACTGCTGATCTACTGGGATTTTCACACACAACCACCTCAAGGGTTTACAGAGGATGGAACAAAGCTCAAACCATTTCAAACTGGTTTCTTGAACATGACAATGAGTTCACTGTACTCCAATGGCCTCCACTGTCACCAGATCTCAGTCCAATAGAGCACCTTTGGGATGTGCTGGAACGGGAGATTCGCATCATGGATGTGCAGCAACTGTGTGATGTCATCATGTCAATATGGACCGACATCTCTGAGGAATGTTTCCAGCACCTTGTTGAATCTGTGACACCAAGAATTCATTTTATTTGTGGAATGAAAAAGGAATTGATTTTTATCATTCAACGGGCTACCTGAGGTTGAATTTGTATTTGTAATTTTAATAGTTATATAATCAATACTTGGTCTTCTCTGTGACAGTAAATGCATTATCTTTGTGTTGTGAACAAAACAAGACATTTTAGGACGTCATCTCGGGCTTCGGGAAACACTGATCAACATTTTTCACCATTTTCTGACATTTTATAAACCAAACAACTAATCCATTAATGAAGAAAACAGCCAACAGATTAATGGATAATGAAGTTATCATTAGTTGCTGCTCTGTTGCTCTGAAATTGCAGTTAACATTAAGACACCTGATCTGCTTCCCTCCTGACTGCAGGTTCAGCCGGTACCAAAGATGAAGATGAACAATTGACCCAGCTGTTAAAAGAAGAGGAAGCTCAGATCTCCTCCGAGATTTTGGCCTTAAGAAAAGATGTAAGACACAAAGCCATGATCAAATATGTGTAAACATGTGTTACAGATGATTCTGTGTTAATGTAAATCTTCTCTCTCCTCAGTTGATCAAAGCCCTTGTGCCTGCCGACCCTCTGGACTCCAGTAACATTCTGCTGGAGGTTGTTTCAGGACGAACAACAGGAGGTATGAAAGGATTCAAAAATGTTCTCTTCACCATATAAGACAGCTTTGCAGCCTTTACAGCAGGCATGTCCAAAGTCCACCCTGGGGGCCAGTTGATACTAGATGATAAACCTCACTGTATTAAAAAAGCCATGACAGGGCTCCATTGTTTGATAGAGGTCCCATGTATTGTATGTGGGAAGGTCTGGTTTCAGCCATCTGATGGTTATACACTTAAGGCTGCTGTTAGTCATATATGTAAGAGGTGTTTCTTATCCCTCACATTCAGACTTTGGGGTATAACATTGCCAAAATATGTGGGTGTGATTAAGAGTACATGCCCCACAATTTCTCCAACATGAGCTCTGAGAAATCGAATTATTATTCTCCATTTTAATTTCCCCCCATGTGTTTGAATTTGTAGCCAGATGTGTCTGGTATGACAGTGTCCTGTGATATGATCATGTTCATCTGTAGGGTGTTTAAAAAATGTCCCGTGCACTTCACTAGCTATCGTCTAGTCTCAATTTCCCATTTGTATTTCTTTTATAAAGAGGTATAAAGAGTTTACCCCACTCACTGTGTACTGTCAGAAAAGGTATGTGTTTTATAAATAGCCCATATAATGTGAGAAACAGCCACATTAACCCCCAGGTTTTTTCCCTTTATCTCAAAAAACACAACCCTGCTTTACAGCCTCATTTAACCAATACATGTCAGATAGCAGCACACAGTATGATGTCTTATTATGCTGTTATGTTGTTTCAGGTGACATCTGTCAGCAGTTCACCAGAGAAATGTTTGACATGTACCAGGGTTTTGCTTATTACAAGAATTGGGACTTTGAGGTTTTGAACTACACACCTGCTGAGTACGGTAAGTCACTGTTTTGTCTGTGTTGTGTAATTTGTATTGGAAAAATTAGTTTACCAAAATGTGAGACAGGTCACATAATATATTGGTGTCCTACTAGACAAAAACTACATTGACAAGACATAAATGTATACTTATAATAATGATTAGCATATTTAGTAACAAGAAAAAAGGTTAAATGCGAAATAAAATGAAAGGAAACAACAGTGAAATAAAATAAGAATTGTTATATTTATTGTGACAAACCTGCACATACAGTGGCAGAAACTGAATATATTAATTGCTGCATTGCATTGCAATACTTGAAAACCTGAAACAGAGCCATATTAGTTTCACCTGTGCCTGAAAAGCCAGGATGTCAAAGATCAGCATGACAGAAGAGGTTTGGGAACAACTGCATGAATGGACTGCTTCTTCCTCTCAGGTGGTCTGCATCATGCAGCAGTGAGAATAGCTGGGGAGAATGTGTACAGACATATGAAGCATGACGGAGGAACACACCGGGTGCAAAGGATCCCTGAGGTGGGCCTCTCCTCCAGGATGCAGCGTATCCACACAGGAACTATGACTGTCATCATCCTGCCTCAGCCAGTGGAGGTACACGTTCACTCTACATCAGTCAACGCTACCTTTTTTTAACTACTTACATTAAATCATGGAAATGGGGTAAAATATTATGGAAATGTTTTCAGACTTCATTGGTAAAAAATGTGTGGGAGCCGTGTTATTAGCATGATTAAAATGTAAGTCACTGTGTCTGTCCTGTGTTTTGTGTTGACAGTTTGAAGTCAACATCGATCCAAAGGACCTCCGCATCGACACGTTCAGATCTCGAGGTCCTGGGGGCCAAAGTGTCAACACAACAGACAGCGCAGTGCGCATTGTTCATCTTCCCACAGGTAAAACATGCCATAACAGTTCTGAAGCTGCTGCAGAGTCGAGACAGTTCTGCTTTTATCTTTGTCTGTCTTAATGTCTTATCTCACCCTCCCAACAGGTATAACAGCCGAGTGTCAGCAGACTCGCTCTCAGCTGCAGAACAGAGACACCGCCATGCGTGTGCTGAGGGCCCGGCTCTACCAGAGCATGATGGGTAGAGAGACTGAGCAGAGGCACACAGCAAGGAAGCAGCAGGTGAGTGAGCAGCATGACCTCTGTTTCATATTTGATTACATTTTGGAAATTGAATTTAGCTGAACTATTAACAGTTCATTTTTTTCTGTGTACCACTGACAACTCTCACTGAATTACTTTGATACTGAAGAAATCTTAAAAACTGAGTTCTGAAACATTCCCATTCCTGTCCCAGTACACACATACAGTCAGCCACACTGTGTGATGCAAATTAAGTCTAGGTTTTTAGGTTTCTAGATCCATGAATGCTGAAAGGTACAAACAGATTTTGGAGCAACATATGCTGCCATCCAGACAGCATCTTTTTCAGGGACATTCCTGCTTATTCTAGCAAGACTGTAAGAGTGTTTACATTAACCCTAGAAATGCGCAAAACCTAAATATCGCAATAAAAATCTGGTAATGGAAACACCTACATTTCGAAAAAAAACCTCTCAAATATCGAGAAAAAGTTTTTACGCTCTCATGAGGTGGTTTTTCACAAATATACATCACCGGACATGACATTGGTGAATTCCTCGTTCACGATCCTCTCCCAGAAATCCTCTATCCGTGGTCGCTGCCACACATAAGGACTTTGCCTTTGGAATACCACTCGCTCTCTTTGTCTTCGGTTGTAGACTACTGCAACAGCAGCAGCGGCAACCGAGATGATTGTTCCATTTCGCAAGAGATTTGTCCATGTTACTTCCGCAAACAAAGTGGAGTCTTCGCGGGACGAGATTTTACGAGAATTACAGCTCATACGCAAAACACCTTTTAATGGAAACACCTGCAAGTCGCAGTTGTACTTTGTCGAAACTTTAGAAATATTGCATTTATTTTGCGCAAAACTGCAATGGAAACGTGACTAATGAGACACATTCTGTACGTCTGTGGCTTCATAGAAAAAGAGTTCAGGTACTAGACTGACCTTCCTGCAGTGAAGACCACTGAACATAACCCATAGAATAACCAATAGACAGGCAATAAGCACCCTTCCTGCTGGAGGAACAGATGACACTTGTTGCTTCAGCAGATACCTATACAAGTGGGCTAAACAGAGATGTGTTGAATAAAATCATGGAGCTTATAACCTGCTTTTGTAGTTGGAAGAAGTCATCTCAACATAAAGTTTATGTGGTAATACTCCCAAACACTGGCAGAGGCATTTTTCTTATTTACTAGTCCTGTTACATTATTACCACCACTCGAGGTTGCCGCCTCTCTCAGCTCAGCTGTGTGTAGAGACTGACCTCTAGTGTTGCGTGCTGTGCGCTGCGTTGCCTAAATACAGCATTGCTGTATCAGTTTAATAAAAAAGAGGAGCGTCTGTATTTTTGATATTGAAAATCATATCTTCAGGATTTCGAGAGTATAAAATCGAAAGTATTAAAAAGAGCAAGCCGCTATTTTTATTTTTGTGTGTATGGTTCATGAATGAATAATGTATTAACGGATTGTTTTATAATTTTCTGATTTTGGACTTCCTATTTATTATGAAAAGAACAAATGATACACAGATTATATCAACAAACGTTTGTCCTTTTAACCACATCATTCCTTCCTGTTCACTCCCGTGTCCCTAACCATAGGTGGGCACACGTTCTCAGTCAGAGAGGATTCGTACCTACAACTTCAGCCAGGATCGTGTCACAGACCACAGGACTGGATATACTACTAGAGACATAAAGGTCAAATATTACTTCAGTGTGTCGTCTCTGTTATTGCCTTTTATTTTCTTTGTTTAAACTCATGAGTGAAAATCAGTGTCTCGTGTGTTGTGCTCCGTGTGTAGGAGTTCATGAGAGGAGGGGAGGCTCTCCAGGATCTGATCTCGGACGTACTTGAACACGCAGAGAGGGAGGCTCTCCTGGAGCTGGTGGAGAGCAGCTGTAGTCTGAAACCACCGGAGTCTGGACAGTCTGCAGACTGACACCCACCACAGCTTCCTGCCAAGTGATTCAGCGAATGCATTTCTCCAACACTCATTGCAGCTCTGTGACTGCAAACCAGGGCTCAGATATATATTATTTCAATATGAATGTATGCTTGTGCAGTAGTCAGATTGAAAACTCACTCATATTTAAGAGGTTTTTATTTTTGTAATAAAATATTAAATTATGTATTTTGTGTCATGGCAATTCCCTAGATGCAACAGCCTTATAAATGAGTAGTAAATAGTATAAATAAGCAATACTTTAAACTGTTTCAGGATAAAAGAATTGCATTTGCCTATTAGATTTTTTTAAAAAATTGAGCTATTACACACTATTGTAAAGTAAAAGCTGCACAAATCTACTGAAAAATGTTGATATAATATACATATAATTACATATTGCTAAAGCCAAAGATATTTAAATGTCAATTTTTCTCAATATACTTATGGCATATGTGCAACAAGTGAGATTTGGTTGTCCAAATTCTAATCTAACCTTTTTCTTAATGAGCGTGAGGCTGAAACTTATACTACACACTGGGAAAAAACTTCATAGTGAAGTGCAGTAAAACTGACTTCTTACACACACATAAGTCGTGTTTATTATCAGCAAATATCCTTAATGGGTCTTTGCCAATCAGGGTGCGGTGAAACCACCTATCAGCTTTATACACACACTCCCAGCAAAACCACGTCACACCCTGCGTGTGTTTGCCAGCTGACCTGCAGCCTGCAGTTTTTTTCTGTACCTGTTTTTCATCTTATTATAATTCACTGTTTACCTCAAGTCAGTTGAATTTTCACACAAGCTCACATTTTCAGTCATAAGTCACTGAGATCACATTGTTCCATCTTTAATCAAGCCTATCCGTACTGCTTTATCAAAGTGTCACAGTCAAATATTGCAATGATGTTTCCACAAGGACGCCTCACCGGCTTTTCATTACTTACAATGGTTAAAAAAATACAACTATGGAAGATAAAAACATTTTTTGAATTGCTCTGTAGGTAAATCTGCTCTTAACAGGCAACAGGATGCAATGACAATAATGTTTACATCAGATCTTGAAGATTATCAAAGTGTCGCACACCTTAAATGGTTGGTTTTGGTATTTTTCAACCTGGATACTATTTCCCATGTTTTTGAGTCTAAGTGACTAATGTTGACAACAAGTTTTGAAATTGGTCCAGTACTAAGCGAACAACGAAACAGGCTGCAATGTAACCACTCAGGGGAGGTGTGCTGTCAATTTAAGTCACTACAAGTGTTTGCTTTTGCCACTGACAGGCTCAGATTGTTATTTTAAGTGTCTGACAACATTATGGAAAGGATCCCTACAGAGATAGACCTTTTGTTAAAGAGTGAGGTTGTTTTGTTTAACCAGAAACAGCCCTGAAATCGCTACCTCCACACCCAGCAGACTATTTGAATAAACACTAATTTTATTATTGGAAAACTTACTTCATTCAAAGCTGACAGAAAGAAAATCAAACTCACAAAACAATCTGGGTTCGTCTTTTAACTGTTCCAATAATCAGAAACTCTAATTTGCTTGAAATAAACCCCTAATTCACCCAGGAAGATATAAAAACATGCTGGCTAGATACACGCTAAAATTAGTTTATTAAATCCTTAAAATCCTGGAACGACATCACTTTTCTTGTGCTGCTTTCAGACGCCTTTCGCAAGATTTTTTTAAACCACTGGAGCAAATTTTTCAAAAACATGGAAAAATGTCCTGCAAATTGCAAAAAGAAAAAAAAATATTTCTAAAAACTAGGGAAAAAGGAAAAAGCTAGAGGAAAGTATTTGTTTATAATTATTATTATACTATTCAAAATTATGTTACAGTATTGTTATACTTTTTAAGCACTTTTTTTCGGTAATTTCCTCTCTTTGTATTTTACTGATTTTCTTGTTTTTAATTTTCTTTTGACTAATTTCTTGCTAGTTTTCTTGGGTAATTTCTCCTTTCATTGCTCATTGTCTTCTTTCCATGTTCTTAAAAGAAATAAAGCCAATTTGGTCTGGTTTCAAATGGTTCAATGGAGTCTGGTGGGTTTTGCAATAGTGATTTTAAGTGCTGTTTCTGGTTAAACACTTTCGCAGAGAGGTCTAAAAAATTTCTATCTCTGTAGGGATCCTCTCCATAAAATTGACACTCATAACAATCTGAGCCTGTCAGTGGCAAAAACAAACACTTTTAGTGGACGTACATTGTAATTTACAAAAGCCTCAAGGGGTTCCATTGCAGCCTGTTAAGCTGCTGCCAGCTGCAGCATTCTCATTAATACTGGACCAATTTCCAAAATTGTCTCCTTTGTCACTTAGACACAAAACATAGGAAAATAGGATCCAGGTAGAAAAATAAAAAAGTTACCCTTTAATTATGACAGATTATAGAACAAACAGAAGAACATGGATTGTGACATTTTTAAATAAACAGTATTTTTTTTTTTTTTACCTTGTCTTCAAGTTTCTCAGGCCAATTTGCCCTAAAAAATTTCACTGTAAAAAAGATATTTGTGCATGTTATGTAAAGAGAATAAAACACTCCTAATACATTTAATATGCTTCAAAAATCAAAATGGCGCATCGAAATGTCAAAAAAGTTCATAGAAAGAGTTCTCTGCTGCGTGTAGTTTTGATGTGACTGGGTCAGTCATCGTTGTCTCTCTGTCGCAGGCTTCTGGATTTGCCGTTCTGTGTCTTGTTTTTCCTGAACGAAGCAGGCCCACCTTCCTCTCCAAGGGATGTGATGATGCGTTCCTTGAACTTTGGTTTTGGCTCTGGCGGCAGATCGGTTGGTGCGCTGGAGGTGCTTCCCTCCACTTGGGGTAGCTGTAAGTCAACCTTGGCACTGGAGAGGAAATAAAAAGGAAGCTTTATCAGAACATGTTGGCTACATATCAATCAATGGGTCACTTCATGGTCTATCAGTATCCTCAACCATTTAAACAACACTTACTATGGATCCTCCTCTTCCTGGATTGCTTCCCACACCCCATATGGATTTGCAGTTTTGGGCCTTTTGGCTTGTGTTGTCACTGGTGCTGCCTCTTCCTCTTTCTTCTCTTCAGGTTCAACTGTTGTACTTTGGACATCTTCCTCTTTTTTCACCTCGTCAGCCTCCTCTTCGGGAGCATCATCACTCACTTTATCTTCCTCCTCCTTTTCTGACGACTCAGCTTCTGCTTTCCTTTTCTGAAAACATAATGAGGATTAGGATGTGAGGTCTGCAATTTGACAAGCCTAAATGTACTTATTCTTATTCACTGCCAGGACTCCTCTCACCCTGAAGCTGATCTTTGGGACTTTGGGCTGCTGGCTGGCTTGTTCGGGGACTTCAGCCTCCTGAGGTGCCGGGGCTTCACTGGAGCCCTCCTCTCCTCCTGACAGTGGCTCCGCCTGAGGGGTTGAGGGCTCCTCCTGACTCTCCTCCTCTTTGTTGGACCCAGATCCAGACGCTTCATTCGAAGGAAAGTCTGCTGGCTTCTCCCAGGTGGTCTCTTTGAGGTGAGACAGATAATCCATTAAGAATAAGACAGTGAATCTGGGAATAAAAGTGATATGAAAACTAATTTTAGATGCATAAAAAATAGTTTCACCTCCAGTCTCAGAGTTGTAGTAATATGTATAACCATCAGGACTGACAGCTTCCATCCAAGGACAGCCTGAAGAGCTCTGAAGACAACATATAAATGCATGTCATCAGCAAACCACAGAATTTGAAACAAAATCTGTACTTAAAAATGCACAGAAACTAAAAAAATGTTAACCTCCATCTGTCCAGGCTGTGCTGAGCATTGTCCTTGGAAACCCTCTGGTTTTTCCCATGTAGATTCTGTAGTTAAAACACAAAGACAACATAACACCAAACCACATTGAGAAGAGTCAGTCTGACCATAAAGTCTAAAAACATGTTTGTGTTTTTAGGTTCTCCCCACCTCCAGTTACTGTGTTGTAGTAGTATATGTGTCCATCATCTGTTTGTCCTTCAACCCAAACCTGTGCTTCTGTTTGGTCTCTGGGCTTCTTGCTTGCTTTCTCTTTCTTTTGCTGTTTTTTGGCTTGTGGTTTTGCCTGTGGTTGTGGCTGTGGTTGTGGCTTTGCTGTTGTGGTTTGGACTGGTAACCCTTAAACAAAAACACAGAACTTTAATATATCAAAGAGCAAAAGCTCCTCTTGTGTAGCCCACATGCTGCATATTATTTCAGTAAAATATACAAAAAAATTACCTGCTTCTTCCCTTTCCATCCTCTTCAGATCTTCCTGATATGCCTTCAGCGCTGCCTCCTCCATTGCTGCAAACTCTTTAGATGTGCGTTCCTCCTGCTTCGCCTTGTCGATGCTCTTCTTTTTAATCTGCAGAAAGAAAGATAAAATGAGGTGAGCGGCAGCAACCAGCAGCCAATAAGAAGAGAGCTTCAGAGTCAGAGTGTTATATGTGGACCTTATCTCTTCTGCCAGTCCTGAGAGCGGTGCCAAGATGGGCAAGTTTTTCTTGGCTGTGTGTGTGTCCTTGAGCGCCCTCGCTGATACTTACAGATTATGTGTAATCTGTGTTGTATAGCCATGCAAATATATGTGCATGTGTGTGTTAGTGAATCAGCAGGAAGACCAAGAATAACATAGGCATGTTTGTACAGAGTACGAAATTCGCCTCACATGACTTAACATTGAATTTTTGACTTAAGTCATTTTAATTTGACACTAAAAGGTAAAGCATTCCCTTTGTGAAGATCCTACATGTACTACAGTAGAAGTAGGAAGCATTTGCTCCTTTATTCTGCTCGACCTTAAACACAAAAAGAAATGTATCATAAAATGTAATACCTCAGAGATTTTTGCAGCCACATTTTCTTTGTGATTCTTCCCTCTTTCATGGAACTCAATGCTCTGCAAAGCAAAACAAACATGAGAATATCATTAGCATATGTGAAAGCTGTCCTCAGCAAGATTAACTGCATCTTTCGGCCGACTCACAGGCTTATTGTCCGCAATCCAGCATTTGCAGTACTGACAGAATTTCCTTGGTTGTGACTTCCAGTAGTCCGCCCTGAAAATGCACAAAACCATCATCAGCTAGCAAAACATAACCTGTAGCCTGGGCAGCTAACGCGGCTAACTGGCTGACATCCTGCCCGGTGTTTAAAAGAATTTAACTCTAAATGATAATAATAACAATCACTAAACATACAACACAAGCCGCTGAGTGTATCTCATTACTTACATTATGTCTTAGTGGGTAAAACACGACGAAAGAACTCAAAACAAACCAAATACGAAGACAACAGCTTCCCACATTTCAAGAATGACAACGGCGTCCTTTTGTGATGACGTCATCGCCAGACGACGTCGAGATGAGCCCTCAAGCTGATATAAGATGTTAAAACCACAGTAAATTATATATTAAAATATTATGAAATATAATATATATGTTAGAAAATTATAAAACAGATACATACATAAAAATAAACGTTTAAATTTGGCTAAGTTCCTCCGGACGTCGAGCAAAAGCTCCCCCG